GCGCCCGCCTGATTCAGGTTGCGTCGAGCACGAGTCGAGTCAATTTGGATCTCTGGTTCGATTGAACCAGATGAGAACGGCATCCTCAAAATTCGCACCTGCGCCCTAACTGCAGCGGTGAAACTGTCTCCTTCTCTACAGCGACCGCGACTGCGGCGTTTTCCTTGGCGAAAGGCGGCAGCAGCGGCGGCATCTTCCTCCGCTGGGCTCTTATTGCTGCGGCGTTTTCCTCGGAGAACGGTGGATGCTGCGGCTTCCTCTCCTTCAGCGAACGGTACAGCGCCCGGTATCTCTCTCTTAATCCTCCTCCTCCTCCTCCTTCTCCGTCGCACAATCCCTTCTCCTCCCTCCTCCTCCCTCTTCCCCCTTTCGTCGCAGCTCTCCCGCTTCCCCGACACCATCCTGCTCCTCCCTTCTCCTCCCTCCTCCCTCTTTCACCCGTTCATCGCAGCCCCCCGCCCCTCTTCCCCGATCCCTCCCCCTCCTCCACTTCATCACAGTCCCCGCCCCCCGTTTTCCTACTTCGATCCCAACGGTCCCCTCTCCGTTTTCCTACTCCGGACCCGACAGCCTCCTCTCCATTATCTTGCTCCGGCCCCGACAGCCCCCATCTCCCTCCTCTAAACCCCACTTCGCCCTCTCTATACATCTTCCCCTCCCCTTTCCTACTCCCCGATAGTTACCCGCTACCCTCCCAACAAGCAGTCAGCAGCATGTCATGAGCATTTACTTCAAAGAAATAGCAAGTCACAGTATGCAAGTTAAATACTGTTGTTAAGATAGACAGCAGGAGAAGTGCTGCTTTTATAAAGAGCAAAGGGAATTGGGGAGTCTTAGAGAAAAAGAGAAAAAAACACGGAAAAGATAGAACAAGAGATAGCAGAGACAATAATTGGGTCACTGTCCAAAGAAAATCATAATTATTTGTCAATATAATCATGCACAAGTCTGACTATTCCTTATGTGAAGCATTTTAATTAAAAATATACCTAAGATAATACTAATCTAACTAGGTTTCCCAAAAGAAGCTCTCTCAACAGCAACTGCTTATTTTGATGAAGCGTTTGGTTCATCAAACCTCTTAGTTTTCTTATTATGTTTACTGCATTGCAGTTTCCTTTTCAAGCACATCAGAAAATTTCAACACAAAACCCCAAATGATACAGAGGACTTGACTTAATCATACAAAGGACTCGACTCAATCTAACGTACAAGTTGAGTAAACAACTACAATTTGACTTGATTTCGAAACCCGAAAACAGACCCAAAACCTCAATGTATTTGGTTAGAATTTGACTTGATTTCCAAACCCGAAAATAGACCCAAAATCTCAATGTATTTGGTTAGGTATAGCCTTACACCTTTATGTCAGCATAGTGTGTTCTCTGCTGTAGTGCTGAAAGCAACTATCTCCGCTACTTGAGGCTTGTTGGCACGTCAAAACACACATGCCTGCTTATATTTGGAATGTCAAATCTTGTATTTGCTGGTTTAGTTGGTGATTTGAAGGAGATTTTGCAGGTGACAATAGAAAGAGATTTTAATGCTCTTCATTTAACTACAGATATTTTCTTACACAGAGTTCAATGATGCAGAAGATCCATATGGCTGATCATGAATAGTTTGGACATCATGGCTTTTGTTATTATTGTGGTTGTTTGCACTTGCTGGTTTTATTGGCAAATTCTCACTGATCTAGGCTTTTTTTTCTTCATTAATGATATGTAGCTGACGCTACATATAATTTTTTACTTTAGTTGAAGTTATTTACCTGAACAATCTTTCTCATAAATTAAGTTCTTTTATCAGCATAGAACCAAATAAACTAGTAGCATTTCTTGATTGAGGCAGTTTTCGTATCTCTTTATTCATTTTTCAGAAAATTTATTGCCTTTCTCTGGTCTTCCAGCTATGTTGTTTTTTTTGTCAAGTTGCTCATCATCATCAACAATGCCTTTTTTAGCATGTTGAACCTCACAAATTACTGTTGTTAATTAATTAAACAGTGTCTTTTCTACATACCAGTCTTGCTAGACTTATAACTAGATCATCTCTCTACATTCTTGATGAAAAGGATCAATTATTCTGGAAGTGCTCATTTGAAATGTTCCAGGTTTTAGTTATAGGACAATGGTGAATCTGATGTTAGAGAAAACATTATGCATCTTCCTGTTATTCTGAATTCTGTAGTACCATTTGCAAGTTATTGATGTTCAACCTACAAGTATAAACATGAGTATCATCTGTATACGATCAACATGGTAAATGCCTTTGCCACTCTTATGCAGCATATTTGATGAAGATACATTTGATATGGTTTTTAAATTGCTACAGGGATATAGGATGCTTGGTAGTATCTAAAGCCACCAACTACAATGGAAAAATAAGTGGAACATTGTGTCTGTGCTTTGGTGTTATATGATGCCATTATTTCAGTGGTGGAGAATTGCTCGGATGTGAGCATGATAATAAGTAACTAATCATAGGTACTCTTTATCAATTCTCAAACACCATTTAGAGACTTATCTCTGAAAGAAATGGCTGATTGGAACTGAATGCATGTGGATTGACATGAGTGGTAAAGGAATGTTGTCTGAGACAGATGATTAGTTGAAAGTTTTCAACGTCCTTGATTTGAGGTAGAAGAGGAATTTGGACTTGGAGAGGGCAGAAATAAGACTACTTTTCTTGTATTTTTCTGCAAACAGTATGGGATACTGCCTCAAAAGACTAATGTTTCCGGTGCAGAAGAGGCTCCTTTGCCTTCTCTCTTGTAACAAGTCCAACATCTATCTTTCCTCCTATCAACTCTGCAGTCTGTTTAGCTTTTCCACTGCCAAAGAGCGCAGTTCAAATCATAGATCCAACTTTACATTGGTCGACCCCCTTGAGTCATGTGAACTTTCCTCAAAAGAGGTTGCAAAAAGGGCCAAGGATCGCATCTGTGAAAACAAACTATCAAGTTCAAGTCCTTCCATTGAGTTCTTTAAGCAGCGCGGTTGGAGTGATGCACAAGTCATGAAGCTTACCCAGAGGAAACCCAAGTTGATATTTGCTAATGTAGAGACTATCCTGAAGCCCAGGATGAGATCTTTGCAGGACATGGGATTTTCTGACACTGAAATAGTTCAGCTGGTTTCATCATGTCCGGGTCTGCTCCTTCTACGTGACATCCAACCGAGGATCAACTTCTGGAGGTCATTTCTTGGTTCTAATGAGAGGTTAATTAAAGCCAGCAGGGGGAACATGTTTCTGCTTACTTCTAGCTTGGCTCGAAAGATTGAGCCCAATATATCTCTCTTGAGGGAATGTGGCATCAGTGAGCAATGCATCATGCAGATGGTGGTGGCACTACCGAGGTTTTTTTGTCTAACGAACAAATGTATTAACGAATCTATCAAACATGTTGAAGAGTTGGGTGTGTCACGTGACTGTAAAATGTTCCCTCATGCAATTTCAACAGTCTTGACCCTGAGCAGGTCCAGGTTTGATGCCACCTTTGCAACCCTGATGAGCTTTGGGTGGTCCCAACCAGACAGCCTTGCTGCTTTCAGGAGGCATCCAGTCATTTGGAATTACTCAAAGGAGAACTTATCTGACAAGATGACATTCCTGATGAAGGAAGCTGGTTGTGAGCTTGCATATATCATTTGCCATCCCGTGCTTCTTACATATAGCTTGGAGAAGAGGTTGAGACCTCGATATGAAGTTATGAATTTTCTTGATCAGAATAAATTGCTGGATAAAGGATATAACCTGCTATCTGTCATGCTGCTATCTGAAGAGAAGTTCAGAAACAAATTCCTTTTCCTGCTTCGCAAGGAGAAATTTATTGCTCAATATGATTCCTATGTTGTTGCTGTGCAGGGAAAGCCCCACATTGTTGCGGAAAACTAGGATTGCAAGCGCTTCCTTAAGACTGTGTCAACCTATTGCATGCTGATTGCAAATTAATCATTTTATATTTGTGACAATTTAAATTCTGCAAGAGTTTGTTGGAGTATAACTTCCATGTTGATTTGGTGATTGTTCTTCTATTTATTTTTTCCGACAACAAAAGGTACTGATTCTTTTATGCTAATGTCTCAGAAATTGGTAGAGGGGGAAAGTCAATTACTTCAGACAGGTAACCAAATTGAGCACCCATCACAGGTCCAGAAAGATTATTGAATTTGAGCTACATTGGTGCATATCTATTTTTTTGATAATAATAGTTGAATTAAATTAAGAGAATAATTACCAGGTAGGTGATAAAATGAACACATTTATAGCATATATCTCTAGTTAGTTATGAATTATTTAGTATCTTAAAAATAAGAAACAGTATCATTAATTTTTTAGTAATATGTTTAGTTGATAAAATTTTAATTTAATGAAAGTGTCTATGAGGAAAGATTCAGAAGAGTAGACAAAGCAGACAAAGAAGATTATTAGATAGTTGTGGTGGAGTAGTGAAAAGAAGATTGTTGAATAGTTGTGGAGCGACTACTGATTATAAGCTGACAATGATGTTGCAGAGAATAAAATTCTTGTCAGAAATTCTGAAAGAATATTAAAGATATCTAATTTTAACTTGGTACAATCATTGTCAGAAATTTTGTTGACTTTTTATTTTTATTTCATGTAAGTACTATTTTGGTGTCTTCAAAATAAGGAACAATATCATTATTTTTTTAGTAATATGTTTAGTTATTAAAATTTTAATTGAATGAAAGATTCTCAAAAAAGTGGACAAAGAAGATTATTGGATGATTGTGGGGTAACTATTGATTATAAATCATTCATTATAAATCGATAATGATATTGAACGGTGTAAAATTCTTTTAAATTTTTTTGAATAGACATAAAAGATATGTAAGATTTTGCACAACAAAAAAACAAATGGATCTCACATTTTTCTGTATCAGTTTTTGAACTAAATTAGTTCCAGAAAATTTGCTGCTTATGACGGGTCAGGCGCCCGAATGATTAAAATCCGGATCGAACCTGAGTCGCATTTCGAACCCCACGCAAACCCCCGTGGCGCGACCCTGCCCTAATCGCAGCGACCGCTCTCTTTCTTTGGCGACTGCGGCGTCTCCTCAGTGAACGACGGCTGCCTTCCTCTCCATCGGGAAACAGCGACAGTTGGCGGTGGCGTCTTCCGCTCCCGGTATCTCTCTTTCTCTTTCTCTTCCTCCTTCGCCATCGCACACTCCCTTCTCCTCCGTCTTTCCCCTCTGTTCATCTCAGCCCCCGCCCCCACCACGCCCCACGGGCGCCAAGCCCCCTTCCCCGATCCCTCCTCCCTCTCCCCCTTTCGTCGCAAGCTCGCCCCCTTCCCCGACACCATCCTCCACCTCCTTCCTCTCTCTTCCCTCTTCCTCCAATTTTTCTTTGTTTTTCTTCCTCGATACCATCCTCCCCCTCCCCTTTCCTTCCTCCTCCCTCTTCCCCCTGTTCATCGCGGACCCCCGCCCCGTCGCCTCGTCGCAACCCCCCTTCGCAGACCCCTTCTCCCTCTTCCCCTCCTCCCCGCTGCTCCCAGACCACAGCCTGTCTTCTTCCTCCTCCTCACTTCTTTCTGTATTTGTGACTGCTTTAATTTTGAATTGTTAATTTTGAATTCTTATTATTTTTATATAATTATGAAAATGTCATTTTTGATGTTAATCTTCTTTTTTATAGTTATCTTGTTATTAGATTTGGAGAATTTAGCACTTTAATGTTTTCTAGATAGTTAAATCAATGTAATTTGATATTTAGTGGTGATGATTTGAAAATGAAATTAGATGAAACTCATTTTGTCTAATTTTTATTTTAATGCCTGGCTTTTTTGTTAATTATATTTTTTTATTATTTTATATTGGCTAGTTCTTTGCGGAGCTTGGGCGAGTGCCTTTAACAATACTGTCTTAAACATTGGTACAGTAGAATGGAACAAGTGATCTTTTTTACATACTCATTTCCTGATCATTGTAACCCATTAAGGAGGCCATAAAAAATAATTTTGATATATTAATTTAGATTAACGTAACTTGATTGTAGCCAGGTACTGTGGTCATATATGGTGCTCAGTTTTTGCAATTTTCTTATCATACAATATCTCCAATGATGTTTTTTTTTTTTTTGACAACTGACGATTAATTTCTGGTTCTTGGAATGTTCTGAAAATGCATACAAGTTGAATAATGTTGATAACATAGACAACAGGAGAAGTGCTGCTTTTAAAGAGAGCAAATAGAATTGGACAGTCTTTTGAGGGGAAAAAAATGCATGGAAAAGATAGAACAAGAGATAGCAGAGATGGTGATTGGGCCGCTGGCCAAAGAGAATTATATTCTTTTGTCAATAGAATCATGTATAAGCCTAACAATTCCACATCCGTTTTACTTATAAATATATCTAAGATGAACCCAAGAGAATATAGTTTCTTTCATTCATTAATCTTTTCTTTATACAAAGGAAGATATAGATAGGTTGATTACAAACTGTACAGCTAAGCAAACTCTACAGCTAAGCAAATAGAAGTGCTGACAATTCCACATCCGT